ATTTGGATTTTTTAATTTTCCCCAGCCAAATTTAAGGATAAAATAATTTTACCCAAAATTTCTAAAAGCCCCCAAAAAAAAAAAGGAAAACTTTTAGCCAAATCTTCTAAAATTTTCCCACTATAAGGCACATTACATAAAAAATGCTTTTTTATAAAAATTTAAAAGATTAAAGACCTATAGTTAATGTTATAAGGTTATTTGTTTGTTGGGTGTCCCCACCTCCTCTCATCTCAAAGGCCGGTAACGCGTCCAAGGGTAGCGGTAGCCACTATCCATCTGACCTGTCTACAATTATGCTCCCTACATCATAAAACCGAAACGAAGACACAAAGTTAAAATAACTTGGAATTTAACTTTTGTAAGATAGGCCCTATTTTGTTTCTAAAATATCAAAACCCGTAATCCTCAAACGTTCCTATACCAAAAGTTTCCTTTTATTTCGTGATCAATAAGGAGATAATGTGAAACGCTAAAACAAAATTTATTACATACTAGCTGTTTCCCACAGCTTCGTTCCCGTGACCTTCGAGACTTGGAAAAAGGTTTATTGCTCAGTCACGTTTAAACGTACAGCAATATTTTACTTGGTTACTATGGGCTTACTGAATTTAACTATAGGCCACACTACAATGTATCATTTTGAATCTAATCTTCGAAGCAAGTAGAAAATGATATTTTTATATTATTTTTTCTCGCTTTTTGCGTGCTTAATTAATCTGTAGATTTAACAATCATGAGTGTTTTAAAATGGGCTGTTATTTATGTTGGTTCGAGTTTGCTGATAACAAATTATACGTGTACCTACTTTGTGCTTACTAGTAGGAGATCCTCTGCAAAGTCAACCTTTTAAAAGAGGTTCTTTTAGAGTTCAGGCAAAGCAAACTTATTCATGTTAAACGTATAGCTCTGCTTCGTGAGAATTTCAAATACTTGCCTTATTTAAAAACGAGCGAAAAAGAAACCATTTCTCATTAACATCGTCATCATCAACCGCCTTTCAGATTCCACTGCTGGACATAGGCCTCTCTAGAAGGTTTTGGACTACTATATCACTTATTTCTTATAAACTAACCACTTAAAAACATCTCCAAGGGCAAGTTGAGCGCGCGTAGGCAGGATTCTGTACGTTAAAAATGTAATTTCTTAAATATGATTATAGTTTTTTTTTTAACTAAAAAAAATGAGCTTTTTTTTCTAACTAGATGCCTAAAATGACCTTTATATTAGACTTTCAAAATATATGTTATATTTAATTTGCTTTCTTTTGTTTGCATTTTTGTTTGTTTGTTTCACAGGGCATAATATAGTCAAAATTATATATTTAACTTTAAAAAACATTTTTTTTTATTAATTACAGTCGCAAATTAACCATCCTAAAGACTAAAAGGTTTGGTTTGCAAGAAGTTAAAGATGAAATCCCAATAATGAAAATTAGGTACACTATCATCTTTATCATGTTACTCTGACATTTGGTACTAGTACTTTACTTTATTAAATAACCCTTTTATGGAAAACACACAGTTTTACTTATTTTTATACTTTAGGTAATATTTTGTTCCGTGTCTGAAAGAGTTGTTTATCTCTGGCAAAAATAATTTATTTTTTTCGTCTTCTATTATTCAAATCTATCTTTGTTGTATCTCTTTTGTCAGTCTTTTATAAACAATGAACGTAGATAAATATCACACAAGCAAACCTTCACTTGTATACGATTATTATGAAAATCGGAAAAGAAATTGTGGTAGCTTTATTTATATTTGTTATTCTGACTGATTAGGAATACTTTCTTTGTATAAAGAAGGCAGGTTTTTTCGACTGAAATGTGGTAGGCCTTTTTTATTAGTAATACTAGCTGGTGCCTGCGACTTCGTTCGTATGGAGTTTGAAAAGCGCTACCTGATAATTTGCATGTCTAATGTTTTTTTTATCTCATCATAGTTTTTTTTATCTATTGATCAGTGTACGAAAATAAATGCAAATGTTTATAGTCTTCGAATCAAACGTAAGTATGTATAATTGTTCCCAAATATCCTATATAGGGTGAAATTTTATGGGGCAGCTTAATTCCGCCATGCTGTTATTGCGACGGTAAGACGCGTTATGTAGGATTGGCTCGATAGGAATCACGGGACAATCTGATATTGGCTGACGTAAAGGACGCTTTGGAGGTCCCCTGTATCTGATCCGCAAAGAGCCAATGCCCGGGTGCTAGCAATACGATTGGCAGAACATGGTCTTGACGCTTTTTCAAGCTGCCCGAAAGTGTCCAGTGTGTTTGGTTAATAATAATAGTAATATGATTTCTAAAACCAAACCCAAATGAGGATAAAATACCGTGATCGGAAATGAAATTAATAACCACCGCACCGGCTGTCCGGTTGGGAATATTCGAAGGGCGATTTCCGCACGGAAAAAAAAGTGGCTTCATTGGTATTGCACGCGGGCGCCCGAACAGTTAGCGGCGGCCCTGCGTTGCCTTAGTGGTGCAGTACGATACGTGACGCCTCGGGTTCGATTCTCGTATCGGGCAAAATTTTGTAGGGTTTTTCTGAGAGAAATTCTTTAAAAAAAAAAAATTGAACCGACATCTAACAATACTAACAAAGAACACTAAAAAACCCAACAGCAATAGCGGTTGATGTGCTGTAATATTTTGAAAAGTTTCGTTGTCTATCTTCATAACTCATCATCAGATCTATATGAAATTAAATAGGATCATTTTGGAATAAACCTCTTTCGAACAAAAAAAGAATTTAGAAAATCCGTCTATTTATGACGTATTGTACATAAAAGAAAAACATTCGAAATGACATAATCGAAATCGATCCAGCCGTTAAAGATTACCCGGAACAAAGAGACAGAAAGGCAGACAAAAAAAAACTGGTTTTTAGACATAGGTATTGTGCAAAATAACCGTTGTGAGCATGAAAAAACCTATTATTTTGACATTACAAGCAGACACTTCAATTTTATTTATTTGTATAGATATAAGAATAGTATTAAGTTTTTTAGTTGAACAAACGGTTTCACAGAAAGTATGAGTTAATAAAGATGGCTTAATAAAATAAATTTTACCATTTATTGTTATTATGAGTATGTAAATATGTATAATCTAAGAAGTAACCGAAGTCTATTTTCTAATTTTAAATAGTACTTTCGCTTCGTAACTATTTTATATGGAGTTGTATATTTACTATAGATTCAAATCACCCTATAAACCCCTAGGCGTCGCAAACTTCAAAATTACTCCACGCAATCAAGTCATATGTATCATTGTAAATTATAGTTTAACTTATAAAGTTAAATATAATTTACAAGGCGATTGTTCAGTCGTTTATTCTCAGTGTATATTGTTCCTTAATCATTAACTTCGTTTTCGGCGTTCTTTTATTTTGTTATAATCATCTGTTTTCCTTTCCTTTGGTTTTGTGATATATCGTTTCATTCATAACGACTTTTTTGCCGTACAATAATTTATTTCTTTTGCTACGCATTGGATATTATGAATGTGGATTTTGTTTGAATCTTTTTGGGATAAGGAAATCGTGAACGCATAGATGACGTTTATAAATGTTTACACTATATTTTTTAATAGAAAGCGAAAGAGTTAATTTAACCAATTTCCAGAATTCGTCACGACCTGATGACCTACGGTGACAAATTTACGGCGAAAGAAGCAGACTATGCCTTAGATGAGGCGCCGATGATTGTTCAAGACGACGGTTCTACCATGATCGACTACGTTAAGTTCTGTAGGAAGCTAGCTGGTTTGAAAAAGCCGAGCAAACCTAAGTAATAAAATGTAAATAAAAATAAGTTTGTTAAAATATAATGACTTCTCTTGAGATTTGAATGTTGTTTAATAAATGCGTTTTTTTAATTTGTTTTTATTATTAAATTGCCCTTCCTTCCGATGCAAGCATTTGGGAATATTTGTTTAAATATAACAGCTTATTTTTGCATTACATATAATATACACATTTAAATAGGATATGTCCTGTAATTTGTTAACTGGCGCACACAGACCATGAAGTCATAATTTTCATAATTATTACTGCAGCAAATAAGATGATTCTACTAATTGGATACTGTTTAATTATTTTTTAATGAAAACGAACGTTAACAAACTTATATGTATGCTGATAAATGTGTATGCAATCAAGCTGATGGGGTATCATACGGGCTAGGGCCTCGGAATTACATTCGTGTGATTGCGGCTACAAAATCTGCACTGGGTGGATCTGCACAACTGTTGTGGAAACACGCCTCACACAAGCTTTTATTTTAGCTATGTTAGATATAATAACAAGTACTCGTACCTATGTTAACAGTATTTGTTTTAAAAATTAGTCAATAAATATATATTGACTATAATTACACAATTATGGTCAATGTTAGCAGAACATAATTTATATTGATATCGGGTATCGTCAGAATTTACATTTGTTACCTACTTGCAGCAGATTTAACACAGAGCTAATAATTCACTAAGTACCTAAACTTGGTTATTTTGTGGAAATAACCAAATTTTAAACAGCATCTCATTTAACAGAGAAGTTCAAGTCATGTGAATTAAACTTTGCAGACTTCGTGTGTATTGTGATGTTTTATGATGGTCGTCGATTGTTTAGAGGCATGATTATTAACTTCTTTGACATAATTTTGTTAATCTTTGTGTTTGTGAAAATAAATATTAAGTAATACCTTCTCAAAAACAGTTATGAAACAAATACAAATCAAGGATGTTAAGAGTAATATGTGGATGATCTAATGGGTGGCAAATTCAACTTACTTAAATACATTTCAACCACCGATAAAAGTATGAAGACGCTACTGATCTAATCATCAAGACCACATATATCATCATCATCATCAGCCTATCGCCAGTCCACTGCTGGACATAGGCCTCATTGCACGCCACTTAGATCGATTTTGAGCTTCAATATATATATATATATTTTAATAACAACTCTGCAAGAAAAACGTTTATAAATTACTCACTCGACATGTTCCTTGTGTATTTCAAAGTCGGTGAACACGAGTTCGACAATTTCGTGCGGCGCCGCCACAAATGTGTAGAGGAGGCAGTCAATGTGTGACGGGTAGGGGCGTGGGTAGTCGGGGCTGCTGAATATGCCGCGCTCTTTACCATACGTCGACGTGAAGCGGATGCACGTACAACCTGCACAACATCATACATTATGAAACTGGCAAATACCTGAACTGAATATGAGAGTTTATACTACAACTGTACAGACTGTAATCCGACTAATGAATTGAAATAAAAAGTAGCGATATGGAAAAACTTGTAATGTGTTCAGCCATTACAAGTTTTTTCCATATCGCTACTTTTTATTTTACAGATTGAAGTTCACAAATATAATACATCGACATCTATGTACGAGTAACATATGCACGTAAATGTAAACGCCCTTAAAAGTAACTCGATGCCGAAGGACGTACGCACTATTGCGCACACTAAGTGCATAGGCGTTTTAACTACAGCATTAATAATAAAAATGTATCTGACATAATTTGAGCACAAATCATTTTTAAGCTTTATATGTACAATTCATGTGTAACAAATCTTTATTATTTATTGGAAAACGAAGTTCCTATCGCGCGTTTGTGAAACCCTTGCACTACTTCACACTTCTCCTTTTCGCTAGAACGGAAAAAATCTCACGAAAACAAACGAACTTTTATTCTGACTACTTATCATTCGCATATGAAATATGAATTCACTGTCAAAATGTTTAATAAAATGAAATTCAGTAAACGCCAAGTGATATTAAAATGTCT